TGAAAGTTTGGGAACCACATTATCTACTAAAATGTAATTAATGTCACACCCAGACTATATAAAGCCTTGAAAAACAGTAGATTATCTAATTCTCTCACACCTTTATTGCCATCTTGCAGCGGAAGTTATCCCCACTAGTAATGGAGTACCTGCACAGAAAAACAGAGGTATAAAAGGCAGAAGTTCACTCATATACACGGTTTCTTTTTCTCTCACACAAAGATGCCATTTATAAACACAGGCATGTAGTCTGCACCTGCTGAAGAAGAGTGGTGCGAACAGGAAGCAAGCATAAGCCGACCGAGAGGAGTTCACAGACCGCAGGGCCAGCTACGACGAGAGAGAGAGAGAAACCAACAAATCAACTTTTTTCATTGACGCAAAGTGTGCACCCACAGGAAGCAACAAGCCTATCTGCATTGTAAGAGGAAGTGATGCTGTGCAAGTCAGTGTCAGAACAGCTCACCCCATCTTCCTGAGGCTCAACATACAGTTCATCGCCGATCCTGGACAGAGAATGGACGGCTTTGGCCAGTACTGGACGGTACAGACACACCCACCAACAAACACACACAAGATAATTATTAGCAACAACTAATTAATGACACATATTCTAGTTAGAGACTGTGTTTAATATGCAGGAAATGTTTGCTACCTTTCACGTTTCCTCCCGTTACGATACAGTGCATCTCTGCAAACTCACTTTTCCGCTAAGTTAGCACATTTGGCTAAAAGTTAGCCAAAACGAGCGGCTAAGCATCACCGAGACGTACACAAGACGGCGTTTTAATCGTTTCCACGCCAAGAGCAAATCTTCCTACCGAAAGCATACTCCGTTTATTTCCAGTCTAAGTTTATTTTTCTCGGTTAAGCAGTGTCTCTTTCATCGATGTCAGCGTTGTTTACGCCGCCATTGCCCGCTTACAAAGTGCGGACCAATCAGATACACGGCAACTCAAAGGGGGCGTGCGTTTGACGCTGCACATGCGCACTTATTTTTTAAGTGAACATTTCTGCCACTTGTGGGTTTTTTTTCACTGCATCTTCGGGGCTGGTTATTTATGATCGTCCGGGTTAGAAATATATAAAGATGTCGTGACGAAAAACAAAAAAATAAGGTATAATTGTAATGGATAAAGACGTAGATTATTACTAATTGTTATATAAACTTTACTTAATGATTAGCAACTTGATAATTATTAAATAAGTTCATGTCAAAATAGGAAAGTAACTTTTCAAGTACTGTAGTGTACCTAGTTAATCTTATAGTCTAAACCTTCAGTCAGAATGAAGGCAGTACAATTACTGTACTTTTAAATGCATATTAGTAGGCTGAAATATAGTTAAAACAGTTAAGAGTTTATCAGGGCGGCAGCATTTTTTAATGACTTGCAGTGGGGAACAGCATAGCTGGTGGCTAACAAACCTATAAGAAAGATTGCATGGTGTTCTCCAAGCTGAAGTGCACTACCTGTTTGGAGAATCTACTACTTTATTTCGACAACAGTAACAAAGGCCTCTGTGACAGCATTTTTCACAGAGTTGATATAAAATGGGTTATTGCAAAGCTCTGTGCAAACATTTTCATATATCTTTAATTTGGCAGGCGCATTCATAGCGGCTGCTCTTAAAGAACGCCCTATAATTATCAGTTACGGGTCACCGAGGGTGTGTGTGCACTTGTGTGAGCAAGCGTTAGAAGTAGAGAAATGGGAAGGAAGGGAGGGCAAAATACAAAGATGGGCAGAAAGACACACAGTGGGAGAGAGTTAGAGTCAGCAAACAATTATCTCACCTCACTGGTCTTTCTTGTTGGTCTGCTTCAGTTTGTAATATCTGAGGAACGCAGCCATGCACAGTCTCTCCTCCCATTATCAGTGATATAAGTGGCTGCTGGAGAAGAGGTGTGACTACAACACCCGTAGTGTAATGGAACTATGGGCATTTAGTAAAAGCGAGAGACTTTTGAAAATAGGGAAAAAACAACAAAAGCTTATATCTCTTTGTTGCAGAACAACAGAAGAAGACTTCTGCTGCTCTTCTTGAGGATTCAGCATTAGTGGAGGCAGCATAAGAAGCAGCAGTTTACACAGAGAAGAAGAAGAAGAAGGATTTGTACCTCTGGACGTTTAACTGGAAGAGGTGGATCTTTCTTCATATTTGCTATGAAGCAACTACATTGTCATGGAAAGGGATTGGATTATTCAGAAAGGCGAAAGCAGCCATAACAGGTGTCCTTCTAACAAGAACTGGACCAAAGAGTGATATCTTCTACACAAAGGTATTTTTCCACTTGTCATGCTGGTTGTAAAGCGACGAATTATATTATTTGCATAGAGTCCGTCCTTGTGTATCCAGTTTCACTGTGGTGTTGACACGTGTTTCTGCGACTTCTGGATTTAGAGGACTTAGAGGTTGTGTTACTAGATGTCTCAGTCACCTAATCCAGCAGACTCCCAGGCCCTGCTGCAGTCCATGCTGCAGAAACTGAAGCTGCAGTCGGAAAGAGAGGGCCAGGGGCACCGGCACACTCTTGGACCAGAAAACAGCAGCCCAGGTACTAATGGCATCCCTTCAAATAAGGTCAGGAGCCCTGCTGCAGACAGCAACTTTAGCTTCAAATTTGGTCATCTACAGCAGCCCGGTCATGGAGGCGGGGTGGACAGGGGTTTTATTTCCTTCCCCTCCCAGAAAGACAACAGTGTTGGTGACACTGGTGATAGCAGGGTTATGGGACAGGCGACACAGCCTGCGATCGCCCCAACAGTAACAGGGCAGCTGTTTCCTACCACATCACTTAAAGATGCTTCCTTTGAGAGGACTGATAGTGAGAAGTGGAGTTTTGGCAATTCTGCAATGAAAAGAAGCATGCCTCCTAACACAGATGCTGCCCAAAGCATGGGAGTGAATGAGAACCAGGAGCAGGGCTTTAAACCTAAAGTCTACCTGTGGGCCGTGAAAAACACAGACCCTTTCGCAGGAGGTCAAGACAATAAAGAGTTAATTGTAGAAAATGGAGGATTTGGAGCGATGGCAGAAAACAAAGATACCCAGGTTGCCTCAGACAGTCAAAAAACAACAAACAGTAGCGTGAGGAGGAAACAGAGATCATCTGAGAATAAAACCAGAAGGTGGACGCAGAGGCTCAAGGAGCGATGGAAGGACAGACAAGGAAAAAAGGGAAAAGAAGAAGAAGGAAGCATAGGAGACCAGAAGAGTGGGGAGGGACCTGAGGTGAGTAGTGTGGTTTTGTTATATAATGATAAAAAAAGAAATCTTGAAGTGACACCGCAACTTGTTTTTTCACGCAGATTTCACACCCAAACCAGGTTACAGAAAGCCTCATCAATGCGTCAAATAAGGATGAAAGGACCCTCCGTTCACTGGACACCAGTGGAGCCAGTAAAATGCTTCCTGCACGCACAGAGGACGCCACTAACGACAGCCACATCAGGTAACAGGCACACAGATGATCCTAAATTGCACAAATACATCCAGACCTGCACTCTAGCAGCATGGCACAAACTGAAAGCCGAACAGTTTTTTTTGGCTTTATTTGCTCTGAAACGTCAGCAGTAAGATATGTGAAGTATTTGAGATGTTTCCAGCCATCAGACAGCTTTACCCCTGATGTGTGTCTTTGGTCTGAAGTGCCAAACACACCCTGTCACTGACAGCATGTGTCATTACAAACTTTCATGCTGTGTACAATGAGATTTTATTTAAAACCTGCTATTAAAGGAAACAGATGTACACAGCAAGTAACTCATAAAGAATGATTCTCTCATTAGGACTTAACACACAGGATGGAAGGATACTCGCTTACCGAAGCCAAGTTTGTTTGCTTTATGTTTTTTCTACTAGAGACATAAATCATTAAAATAACTCCCATATATGCAGCTTTCATTTTGAAGGATTTGTAATTTCTTAAAACAGGTAGACTTAGCTAGCTGGATCTTGAGGAAGATTAAGGAACACTACAAAAACATAATCAAGCGATGTAGAAGTGGTGCAAAACTGGTCTGTAGTATATTTAATGTACAGGAAATGCTGTCTGAGCCCTACTTGCTGGAAATGAGAGCATGAAAAGTAGGCCGTAGAGAATATGAAATAGCTTAGAAATGGTAAAAATGCAAATTTGAACAACGACAAAAGATAAAAACAAGCCTTAAAGCCATATAAAAACATCTGATACTTGACTGGTGGTGTCTCAAGGGCTAAAAACAAATAACAACAGGCAACAACAACAAAAAAGGTTTATAAAATTTGCTCTGGTCAGCATTCCTGTTGTATCGAGTTAGCTTGTAGGCTTAGTTGGTCCATGAAGGCCCATGTAAACTACTGTAAACTACTGCCACAGTGTGTGTCATTGATGTGTTTTATGTATATTGATACATTTCTAGGGAAACAGTAGAGTTCTATGGCGCAGTGGACTAAACAGTAATACTTGCTAATAGAATTTAGTCAAACATAAGGCCCGTGGGTGAGAATCGAACTGGCAAAGAAAATGTGAAGTAGGTCATACGTTTTTGACTTTTAACTGTATTTTCATAAACTTTACAGCTTGTTCTAGTGATAAAGACCTTCCCCACAGTCATTCATTATACAGTAATGAAGTAACAGATAAACACAAGTTCCTGTTCTTTTACTATCTACTATAGGCATGTCTGGTTTTTACAAGAAGACCACAGTAAGAAATAAAATAGGACATTTTCTGTGTATTGACAAAAGCTTTCTCCAGGACAGCCTGGACAAGGAGCAAACAGAACTTTAACAATTTAATCTGCTGAGAGATTTCTTTCATTAAAGTTGTTGGATAATGACAATTTTTGTTATTTTGTTTCTGCACACTGGGGTTTTACAAAAATGTTGCATTAGCTGTTTAGGAATTTCAGGAGATCAAAAGTAATTGGTTGTACTAAGATAATTTTAAAAATAAATTCAGTTTTTAATACTTGTTTTAAAATAATTTGCAGTCAATGACCAAGCCGTCAGACTCCTGAACATTTAGTGACTGGACTGACACACACACACACGCACACCTTCATACATGTGACTACCAAGCACTTATATGCAGTATCTCATATTCACCACACACACACACACACAGACACACACATGTGCAGACACCCCTACAGACACCAAGTTACTTTTGCACAATACTCAGCATTTTGCACATTTCCATTGCACTGTGTTGTGTCTATATTGTCCTGTTCTGTCTAGTGTTGCACTGTAGCACCAGGGTTTCGGAGGAACGCTGTCGCATTTCACTCTGTACTGTACCACTGTACATGGTCGAAATGACAATAAAAGCCACTTGGCGCGATCGTGGCTCAAGAGTTGGCAGTT